AAATGACTGACAACGAAAAAGTCTAAAGCCACCACTGCTTGGGAGAAAGAAACAATGTGATATTTGGGCCCATTTTTGCTCCAATGAGGCGGAGAAAAAAAGCGAATGCATTGTTTTATCAGAAGGGAAGCAATGTGGCCATAACACAGCTGGTAAAAACACCACAAACCTCACCAGATACTCTCTGCAAAGCTGCATTCTTAATCATTCAACCTGTGTTTTTCATCAAATAAGGACAAGATATAATCTTATTTATTTATATATACTAAAATGACAAATTATTGGTTTTGGCTAGACTAGTTTGACTGAAATGTTCTATATCATCTGATGACTAAAAAAGACTCAACAGTTTTCATTGACAACAAGTAGACTCAAATAATTAGTTTTCTTTGACTAATATAAGACTAAAATGCTCAGACGTTTAGTCGACTAAATCTTGACTAAAATCTTTACTGTTTTAGTCGACTAAAATAAGACTAAAATGCTCAGACTTTTAGTCGACTAAATAAGACTAAAATGCTCAGACTTTTAGTCGACTAAAACTTGACTAAATAAAAACAGGATGAAGGTGACTAAATATGACTAAAACTAAAAAGAAAATTTAACACAGGACTAAGACTAAAACTAAATTAAAAAATATTTGACGAATTTAAAACTAGTGCAGTTTAGCGGCAAAATAACGTCAGTTAGCCAGCTAACGCTAGCTTTGTTGAGTTTATGCTAGCTAAACAAGTAGTGGTTGTAGTCTACAACAGTAATTAATATATTATAGCCTACTGCTTTGGCACTAACGTTTGATAACCGTTTATGAAAATAAAACCAATTGAACTGTACTGAAATAATGACAAGTTTTATAATATATATATATCCTTAATATATAACAATTGTCTTGGGCTGAACATTTCATCACTAAGTTCATTTTTTTTCTACAAGCTACAAAACTTTTTTTTTTCTTCTGTGACTTCAAATTTGGTTCACAGATACGTGGATATTTTATACAAGTGTAAATTTGGTTCAGTTACGTGGATATTGTATACAAGTGTACATTTGGTTCACAGTTATGTGGATATGTTATACAAGTGTAAATGTATGCACACAAGCTCAGATTTTTTTTCTGCAAGTGCTCACATCAGGTTTTACACGCTCTCGCATTTTGCACCATATCTACCTTCATACAGTGGGATGGATACAACGCTGCTGTTACAGTTGCTTGGAATATTTGATAACCAATCATGTCGCCTGTGAAGCATGAGGACTGTTTGTTCAGTCCAACATAAAGCTGTGTTCTTCATTTGGAATCCTGGGGGCTTCTTCATTAGATGCCTCACCGCTGCGCTATTTTGCTAACAGTGGTTTGCTTTTAAATGTAGCACAGCTCATGGTCTTCCTAAGCCAATCACAGTGGGCCTCTCTAATTCCCCTCCTCGACTCCTATCCTCAAGACTTAGTCCCGCCCACAGGAGATGCAAGCGGAGGAGTGGAGGAGGGGAACCGAGGAGAGAGGAGTGGAAGCAGCAGGTGGTTAGAGAAATGAGAACTCCTCTCCTCTGAGCGGTCATTTTAAAGAGACGTCCATTAATGATGACAGGAGGCACAGCAGTCCTCTGTCTGATGGACAGATGTGTTCATGACGAACACATCTGTTTTTAAGGCCATTCGCAGTTTCACTCCGACAGGACTTTCCAGAGTTTCCGTTAAAAAATTCGCCGGTCAACATGTCCTTTAAAGTTTAAATCTTCCGGACAAAATTAGAAAAGTGCCGGTCAGAGGTCTTCTTTGTTATTTATTGAGATTTAAAACAAATCGATAACGACTCTATATAATAATATAAGAATAATAAACTGAGCCTCTCTTTTCCTCCCCCTCTTCTGACAGCCCAGCAGCTGATCTCTGAGCAGGAGACAAGGGGAGAGGGAGACATGGGGAGAGGGAGGCGGGGCTATTTCATCTTTATCAGAGAACTACACACAGAGCCGTTTTACCCCCCAGAGCGTCCCGTTTGCAGATCTATCCACTGTAGGAGTCGGGAGGAGCTGATAATTTATTCCGGAAAATTACTCAGACCTACTAATTCCCAGAAGTTATTGAGTCTATGTAAGTTTACTGCTTGGCTCAGATCCACCAACGTCAGCAAGATCTCACCTCTATTAACTCCTGAAGAACCAGGTTCAATTAACTGCTGTTTCAATTCAGACAACCCTTTTAATCTGTTTAACCTGTTAAGCCCTCCCGCAACATCTTGCAGGAAACAGTGTCTGAGGGCATGTTCATTTAATAAACTATGAATGTTTTATTTCCATGCAACGGGAAGAAACTCATCTAACTGATCATTTAAAAAAATAAATAAATAAAAAACCCCACAATGCTAACGCTGAGCCTCTGAATTAGCAACGAGCGAAAAATGCTAACAGATTACTGCACCGAAATTCACTCACAAAACCTTATTATTTATCTTTGCTGCACATCCAACACATCGTTTCACATCGTGAGATGACACAGAATCGATGGGTGCATACATTATCACTCAATGATACGAACTCGCGGAGATAATAACAAGAACAGACATCAAAACATGTGGCGCTAGGTAGCTAAAAACGCTAACATGGCTCACCTGTGTCGTAGTCTGGTCAAAAGTGGTCTTCAATGGCATTAAAACGATAAAAACGTTGCTGAAGTTAATCCATAGGTTAATCCAATGTGTCTGTGTCCCTTTGAAATGATTTATGATAATCCATAAGCAATAAACCTGCTTTTCGGTTTCCAGATGTCAGAGCTAGAAACAGCTTCACTCTAGTGCAAAACTGTGTGCATGAAGCCCCCACCTTTTTGTTTTAGTATGTGTGTGAGTGGGGAGATTCCCCTTCGATTCTATTGGCTCTAACGGTCAGAAAGAGATGTAAATCACCAAAATCGACCAATGGGTTCCAGAGAAACGGTAAAACCCCCATTTCCACCCAAATCACCTCAGAGGTGGAGTTTTTTTTTGCTAAACCTCTCTAAAAAGGTCAAATGTCACTTGTTTTGGCATCAATCTTGATACAGGGTACTTATTATATGTTGTACTTTGGATTCCTAAAGCTTTTAGTCTACCTTACCTTATCCAAGGGTAGTTTGTCTTTTAAGTTGTCCCAGTCCAAAAGGTGGGATCAGTTTATTTGAAGAAAAATAGGTCCAAACGTATACAGGGGTTTTACCTTCTCTCTCTTTACAATATTATAATCATACTAAACATATCATGCTGGGGTTATTTTCTAATCTAAAACCTTAATTCATAGTTCATACATTTAAAAGTCTTCCGACCAAATCCAAAAGGAGTTTCCTCACAGATCGACGGGGTTAATCATCCACACACCCCGACACATGTAAGAGGTCAGTTCCTCAAAATGTTCAGATTGAATTCCGACAGAACCCAAAGGGATTTCCTCATGGATCAAAGGTTTTAACATTCACAACCTATAGCCTGACACATTTAAGAGGTCAGCTTCCCCAGAATGGTCAGTTTGAAATCCCCTTAAAATTATAAGTTTGAATTCCGACAGAATCCAGAGGGATCACCTCATGGTTCGAAGGTTCTAACATTCACAACCTATAGCCTGACACATTTAAGAGGTCGCTCCTCAGAATGATCAGTTTGAATTCCGACAGAATCCAGAGGGATCACCTCATGGATCGAAGGTTCTAACATTCACAATTCATAACTCATACATCTAAAAGTCTTCCGACCAAATCCAAAGGGAGTTTCCTCACAGATTGACGGGGTTAATCATCCACACACTATGGCCCGACACATGTAAGAGGTCAGTTCCTCAAAATGTTCAGATTGAATTCCGACAGAACCCAAAGGGATTTCCTCATGGATCGAAGGTTTTAAAAAACTGTCATTCATTCACTCAGCATTCAATCCACAGAGATTTAAGCAATAGTTACCAAGTTTGAGAGAACCTTACCGAGGCGAAAACCCAGCTCTCCAGGGAGAGAGCTTTACCGGGAGAGAGTATACCAGGGGAACCCCCCCTCTCTCTCTAGTTTGCTCCCTCTCCGCCAGTGTCTTTATGCTAAAAAAACAGGATAGAAAAACCTAAAGATACCTCCTCCATACCCATATTTGTGGAAACTGGGCATGGCCTCTGATGTACAGGACATGACCAGACCTATTCTATGGCTATGGCATAAGACACACCTTCCCAGGCTTATGTAACAAAAGTTCATGACCTCGAGTGTGCAGGACTTGCAAAATATTATTCTCGGCTATGACATAACCACCTTTTTGGGGCCTCAATGTATTTCTCCTTAAGTCAGGAGCCCCCCTCCGTGTGTACTGCTGTGAGGGAAGAGGGAAGAAACTGTCTCTCCTCTCTTATCAGTGACCACAACAGGCCTCACACACTCAATTTAACAAACCACTTGTGTTTTGCTTATACTGTAAATATAGAAAATCATAAAATATGAAGCATTTTCATTGTGGGTTATACAACAATATAATTGACCATATTTGATTATAACCAACTTTCGTTTTAATTATTTATCCTAATATGAAGATCTCAACACCACCTTGGGACCCGTTATCGTTTGCGGGGTTCGTTTCTATCGTTTTGTTATGGCCTCGTGTACACAAAAGGGCTATACGCAAGAGAAACTATGCGGACACAACCCGTATCGTCGTCGTGTAAACAGGGGTTGAAGGGGTGCAGCCAGATCAGATTCTAATCTACACACACATCACATACTGTATGTGGCCGAGCTACCCAGCTACAGGACACACAGGCTGCTCTGGGACTTTAAAGGATAGCTCCAACTGTTTTACATGCTCTATCCATTCCCCTATTCATACTGGCTATAAAGGGATATCACTTTTAATTGCACTCCCGGAAGTAATATTTCCCAAAGTCTTTTCAGTATTTACGTTGACCAAAGTGAAACACCAATGATCCAAGACAAACACTCATTTAAAATACTTCTAAAATCGTATTTCCATGTGGACGAAGAGCCCCTGGACCTACCTGTGTGTGGAGGCTGGTTCCCTGGATCACGGAGACCTGGTTGGCACAGCTGGCCCAAACCGTGTCTTCCAGTGTGAGCAGGGTGCAGACGGGGGGGCCGCCCAGAGACAGCAGCCGGCACGAGTCCACATCCCACAGTCTCTCTAAAGGGGAACAAAGATTTAGAACCCGTCCACAGCTCTGTGCTCAGGTTCTGCAGTGGTGTGATGTGCAGCAGCATCAGGATGCACCCACCCCCCTGGTTCCTGCGGTACACTGCCACCCTGCCACTAGCCAGTCCGGCGAGGAGGAGATCCGGCGTGTGTGTGAGGCAGAGGACGGGACAGCGGTCTGGGGTGATTAAGGTCAGCAGCCACTGCACCGCTGTGTCCACGCTGCTGTACACCGAGACGCTGCAGAGACATGGTGCACACTCCACTGAAGAGTCAAAAACGACACAGAATGAAAGACAGGCTAAAAGGAAGCTTCCGTCTGAGATACCGGCCTCATGTCTGTGTTCACCTCTTGAGGTTGTAGTAGAATCAAATAAGTAATTGTGTATTAATAGCAGATGTCAAAGGTATTGAGAAAGATTACTCACACTGCCCAACAACACAGACTGTAAGATTAAAGTAGGAACATGTCACTGTGGTGCAGATACCATGTGAAGAAATGGAATATAAATATGGCTAATATGAGTCTATAAAAGAAGAGCAGGGGCTTCATTTATAAACGGTGCGTAAGCTCAAAAGATGGCGTACGCCAGTTTCTACGCAATGTTTGCGATTTATAGAAAACAAACATGACGGGAAAATGTGCGGTCCTCCACGCAAACTCTGACCCATGCGTACGCACTAGGCACAAAAACGGGAGAGATGAGAAACTGCGACACCGTTGGCAGAAGGAAGAATGGAGAGAAATATGTGGAAATAATACCATGAACAAAATGTTACCTCTCATTTATCATATATGAAGAATTCATTTTCACAAATTGATTAAAGCCAATCTGAAAAAGTTTTAACAAACACCTGTTTGAGACTCCTCAGTGCACACAAAAACATAACTTGGAGAAATAAATAAATACGGAAATGTTATTGATCACCCCTCGATTATGTTCTCTTGTCAAGAAATGTTTTCTCATAAATGATGCGGTAAGCAGAAGGACAGAATTACATCTACACTGACGCCGTTTTGCATTTCTATAGGTTGTAGACACGAGCATGGTTTTATATACCATCACGTTTAATCATGTTTTATGCCGTTTGCTAAGACTTGATTAGTGGCTCATAAACAGTGTTGGGACTAACACATTACAAAGTTATTTTTGGTAGTAACTAGTACTCTAACGCATTACTTTTTAAATTCAGTAACTCAGTTACCGTTACTCCGTTACTGCGTTACTCCGTTACTGCGTTACTCCGTTACTGCATTAGTTTTTTTATATAGTCAACATCCAGGCGAACAGAGTACTTGAGTAAATGTACTTAGATACTTCCTGTGTCACATGCGGAGACGGGCTGTGGGCGTGTTTGTGTTGTTTACTAACAAGACTATCATGGCGGCGGCGGAGCTCAAGTCTAGTTTCTCCACCTGGAGATATTCTCACTATTTCACTTTTGTCGAGCACAAAGAAAATAACGTTTCTGTTAAATGTAAGTTATGTCCTGGCGGGTCAAAGAGCCTATCTACTGCCCAAACCAGTAATTCAAATCTCTTAAAACATCTGCAAAAACAACATGCTGGGACGAAGCTAGTAACTAAGACCGGCACAGACCCAGACTCATCCAACGCCACTCCACCTCCACCTAAGCAACAGCGGCTGGATTTTAACCAAGGGACTGCTAGCCAGGGAAAAGTCGATAAAGCCATTGCACGGTATGTTGTAGAACACATGCAGGCTATTGCTACAGTGGAGTCACCCGCTTTCAGGGAGCTAGTTAGCATGATACCATGTCCGGGCGGCACACGGCATATGAGACGGAAAACTTTTTCCAACTACCTGGAGAAAGAATATACAAAAATGGAAAGCCAGCTAATATCGATGCAATCCAGATTGCATATAATGCATGTCAAGTTGATCAACAGATTGTATTATTCTCCAATGCAATAACAGTACTGAAATGAAGGAGCATTAATGGGAGCCCTTTTTTGTAAGTAACTAATGCATTACAGTTCACAGTAACGCATTACTTTTTGGTGTAAGTAACTAGTAAAGTAACTGAGTTACTTTTGACATGAAGTAACTAGTAATGGTAACTAGTTACTGGTTTTCAGTAACTAGCACAACACTGCTCATAAAACACAGGAGGTATGGAAACTAAGAACACTATATATTTGGTAGATTTGGCAGCTGATATTACACAACAGATTTGTTTTATTTCATTTAAGTGGTGGATAGAGTTGCTGCGGGGGGGGGCAGTTGAGACACACAGGCTGCAGTGGAGACCGCTGCGCACAGCTGATTGACAGCTGGAACACAAACCACCAAATAAAAAAATAAACATTAATTGACTCCACTTACAGTTTCTCATCAAGGGGGGTCTCCTGTCTCCGGCACAAACACACTGCCTGAGGAACGTTATGTGTATTTTGTCATTAACTTTTTTCGGACCACTTATTTATTTATTTTGGTGACGATCCGACCTCCATGCCGCTACTCTGGTTCAAACTGCATCTACCAAACAATGTGATTTGTCTCCACCTCCCCAAAAGAACCAAAATCTGACACGATGTGAAATGTCTTTTTTAGCTGATCTGTCGTCATTTCCTGCGATCTTCTTCATGCAGTCAGTCTGAATGAATATTAATATGGGGCATTTCTTTGACTATTTATAGGCAATATGGGCGTTACGTGAAGCCCGCAAAAGCTGCGCCGTGTGTTTCATAAATCGGAAAATGTCCAGTGTTTCCCCTAGGATGGAGGCATAGGGGGTGGGTGCTGACGGGGGTGCTAAGGCACGTGAAAGGCTCTTGAGGCCTAGTACCAGGGCCGGTTCTAGCCAATTTGCTGCCCTAGGCGAGATTTTATATGTAAAGAATAAATGAAAAATCTCTACAAAAGGCAAATACACTACAAAAACTGAAAATTATTGACATAGGTAATATATGTAAAAATGGCTTCAAATGTATTCATTATTGTGTGAAAATGTTTGAATTGGGGGATGGACGTCACATCCTCTAGGGGGGTCCGGGGGTATGCCCCCCCGGGAAGATTGTTTTGAACATTTTAAAGTGAAATGCTTCAATATGGTGCATTTTGAGCAGAATTACTAGAGACCTGATCTAGGGGGTACAACTCTAAACACCCATATGAAAAAGATCGGTTTACATTTTAATAATCAAATAAGTCTATGAACATAACCAATAACCTACCATAGCCAATAACAAATAAATGTAGTTTATTTTATTTTTGTTGTTCATTCATATCTTATTTGATCTAGTTAACATTTATTTATTTATGCATATTTTTGTATCTCTCCAACTTTAAACAATATTTTTGGATTACTGTCCTATAGTATACATTGGAATGATTTCAAACCTGTTTTTATTTATCCTAATAATTATAAAGGAGTGCCTTGGAAATATGTGTTTACATAATTTGTGGTCAAAACGTTTGAGTCGCCCAGAGTCCGACTGGTGCTGCGTCATTGCGTCATCGTTTGCATCATGACGTAACCGTTTGCTTGCCTGCTTCATAAAGCCAAACCGCGCGGAAACCCCTCACAGCTGACACCGACAACAACAACAATGGCCGATTGTGCTCCAGCTTCCTCTGTACGTCTTCGGAAGACCAGATTCCCAGTAGGTAGCTGGTCTCTTCCGTGGACCACTGCTGCTTGTTAAGTTTCTCCATCGTTGTGTACAAACTGGATACAACGCCAGCTTTTTGTTGTTGTTCAGGAGTTGATCCCGCCCCTGCCCCCGCCTCCACGTAAGCGTGACGTATGCGGTGCTTTTGTCTAGCCGGACAATTTTTTGGTGCTTGAAACGAACCGGATTCCGGAGCTAAGAGGCTGCTCCGCTGCGGTGTGAACAGGAAAACCCGGTGCTTTTCAAACTCCAGCTCCGAACCGGCCCTGAAACACCGTTGGTGTGAATGAGGTAAGAGAGTTATTTACCTCACTGAGCCTCTCAGTCTGACAGGAGAGCTCTCCTCCACAGTGGTTGTAGAAACATCTACTTCTTATATCCGTTAGCGCTGCTAGCACCAGATTCTAATAACAACAGCGCCGGTACCGGTGCGCCCTCTCCCTCGCTCGCTCTCTCGCTCGCACTTTGGCTGTGAGCTGCGGGCGCCTGATAAGCCATCATCCCCCACTTTCATCACTTACAGCGCCCATCGTACAGGGCAAATGAAAGGTGTAACCGGGGGGGGATGAAAAGGGTGTTATATTTACTTAATTATGAATGCTGCTACATCAAGGCCGAACATTTGGATGAGCGCCAAAGGTCAAAAATGTTTTTTCCCTCCCAGAGCTACCAGCGCAGCGCCCCCCAGATCTGGCGCTCTCGGCGACCGCCTGTGTCGCCTATGCCAAAAATCGGCCCTGTGTCTCAACATTTAGCAAAAATACACCTTTATTGAACATACAGTAACACAAATACTACAAATCCACATAACAAACAATCAAAAATGAAAAAGGGTCGCCACTTATTATTATTTTAATAAAAAAATACCTGGTACCTGGCTAGCGCCCCCTAGCATCGGTGCGCATATTTCAGCAGTGGTGCTGCGCCGCCACTATGTGTATATAGGGGAAACACTGATGTCTGTGCGTATTTATTTGCTTTGTCCTACGTAAGAAATCTTCCCACGTGAATCCTACGCAAGGCTTTATAAATGAGGCCCCAGAACACACAGAGAGAGGATTTGTATTGATGACCTGTACTGAGTATAAGTATAGAATAAATCCCGTTTGGCTGCCAATTATGTTGTGGAGATAATATTAATACCAGGTCTGTGAAACCTGAGCAGACCAGAGGAAAGTATCTGGGCTCTGAGCCAACTGACCTGCCGTCCTGCAGGCCCACACAGATGATGTTCTCTGTGGGGGCAGCAGGGGGGGGCCCCACACAGCCCTCTGAGCTGAGACACGGCTCCTTCACGTACTCCAGGCAGAGGACCGGGGACCTCAGCGGGACGCTCTTAACCAGGCGAGGAGATGCGCGGTTCAGGGAGAAGATCTCCACCTGGCCGTGGTCCAAGCCGCCTCCTCCACCCGCAACCTGAACTCCATCAGAAACAGAAACATGTCTACTCATTCAAAAACAATAAGAAAGACAAGGAGTTTACCACATTAGCAAACAATCATGATAAAATAAACAATACACAAATCAAACTTGGGCTTCTTCTAGAAATCATTAAACATCATGAATACAATGTAATGACAATTTATTTTCAAAAGGGTAACAAGCTCTTGATAATAGTAATAGTAATAATAATGAAGTGGAATAGGAATAACTTCCTAAGAAGGTTAGGTAGCCCCACATATCTGATGAATATTGGTGCCGTACACTGAACATAGAATGTGTTCTGGCAACACACTCTCACTCCCTAAACGTCCAGGAGCGACGCTTGGTCAGGGTCAGTGTTCGAAATGGGGGGGAGCCAGGGGGAGCTTGGCTCCCCCGAAGAGGGAGGGAGCTCCCCCGAAGGCCGACTTTGAGATAAATAGGGGGAGCCCAAAAAAATCGTGCATATTTGTGTCACACAGATTAGAAATGTTGAGTTTCTGTAAATAAAAGTTCTTGAAATAAATTATAGGCATTGTTCATTACAGTTTCTGAATATTCGTTTTACATTTGTGAATATTTCTGTGTGTTGCTCTGTACGTGGCGGTGCTGCATTGTTTACGCTACTTACGTTGCTATGGTTACGGTGGCGCCGGCGCGGGATTTGAAATGTTCATATTGATGTTGTTTACTAAATAATAAAGAAAATGGCGAAACGAAAACAGCCAAGCCTCGCAGCTTTTGGTTTTCACGACTAAAGAAGCAAAGGAGTCGAAAAATGAAGATGTCAACCGGACAACTTTTAGTTCGCCAGCTGTTAGCGGCTGTAGGGTCGATTTTGACAGCTCCACTCAGAGGGAAAGGCCTGCCGATGCGGAGCCAGAAGAGGCTTCAGAAGAGGCTTCAACAACGGCCACAGCCGCCGGTTCGACCTGCACTAGCGAACCTGACGCTGACGATGCCCATGATGGCCTGCCTTTTAACTGGACACTGAAAAGATGTAGTGAGTGGAAAGAAAAGTATCCATGGCTTTTCATCAAAAATAAAAAATGTGGATGTGAGATTTGCAAAGACGCAAAAACAATATTGATCTCCTTGCCGCTCGGAGAGAAATCCACCGGAGTGCACCTTTCACCAGAATGGATTCAGGGACAGGTCAGCTGTGATCAACAAAATAACCTGCGAAAAAAGATTTATAAGCACGATAAGAGCCAGGCACATGAAAAGGCAATCGCAATTTCGGAGATGAGAAAGAAAGATGTCCTGCCAAACAAGGTATTAGCAATCAATGCTGATCTAATGCAGGAGACATATACATCGTTCAGATCTGCGTATATGATTGCCAAAGAAGAAATGTCATACAGAAAGCTACTTGCTGTAATGTTCCTACAACAACTCAATGGTGCTACGGTAGGGACTGTGCACAAATCGGACCATGCCTGTGCTGAAATAATCAGGCATATCGCAGAGGAAATGAGAGCTAAATTCGTTTCCAACATAAAAGACATGGGCCCACTAATTAGTATCACAATAGATGAGAGCACAGTTCATGGGCGGGCCTACATGATTATTTACGTGCGATGTGACATGACAGGAAAAGGGGAAGTGGACAATGTTTTTTGGGATATTGTTGAGCTTTCAGAAGGTACAGATGCTAACTCGCTGTACAGCAGTTTGAGGAAAAGCTTAAAACAAGCTGGATTGGATGACGAGTTCTTGGGGAAAAATCTCATCTCAATAGCAACGGATGGAGCAGCAGTACTCACAGGCAGAGTTGGGGGACTTGTGACAAAACTCAAACAGGATTTCCCCAAAGTGCAGTCTATTCACTGTCTATCCCACCGACTAGAATAGACCTATCGCTAAACCACGCCCCAAATAGAATTTGTCCAATCATATCACAGCAAAAATCCCTCCTGGCAGAAAACTCGGACATCACCAGAAAAGCCGTTTGTGGGGCGCATCAAACCAAAACCAGACGTCTGTGATCGAAACCACTGTGAAGAGTTCAGTTTCTATGTTTATTATCTATCTAATATCTGATGGTGAAACGCTGTGCGTGGGGTACCTGTAATTCGGACACCAGGTACCCTAAAAGACTGGATGGAGGAGTATATTTCGTACCTTTTCCGAAGCCCAAAAGAAAACTCAACAAATGCAAGCGGTGGATTATGCTGTGTCGTCGACCACATAGCACATACACAACTGAATGTGAAGACAATTACCAAGGACACTTATTATTGCTCAAAGGTAAGGTCAATTCATAAAGACATAATATTTGACGGCATGTATTAGAAACGTAGACCAAACTATTAGTTTGCTAACGATTGACTTTGACTGCCAACTAGCTAGCGTATATCCAGCCCAGCTAACTAACGTTAGCTGCCAACTTGTTAGCCAGCTAACTAGCTACAGTGTTATCAACATCAACGTTTGCTGTCTGACTTTTTGTCCTCGCTAGTTAGCTGGTGTTTTTAGCTAACTGTCTTTTCACCTCAAAGCACTTCAGAGATGGGAAGCCAACTCTGGAATATCCAGATCCCATCCGGGCTCTCGTGTGTGCTGCTCCGAAAAGACACAGACCCTCAACCAAAAAAAGGTAACGTAACAGTCAGCCAGGTGCATAACAGTGAAAATGATGACCAACAAGGACAGTTATAGTTATAGATTTAATGTAGTGACCACCACTGCTAACATTGACTTGAACTCCCCCCGCGGCCATTGTCAACAGTCATTCACGGTCGGCTTTGTTTGTCCGAGTTTTCAAAGGGGGCGTGGCTTAGCGATAGGTCTATTGGCTGTCAAGGATTGCCTTAAAGAAGTAGCTGGGTGTAATCAATTTGAGTTTTTTGTTGCAAAACGATATGCTCTCTATCACCAGTCAACAAGAAATGCCCGTTTGCTCCAAGAAGCAGCAGCAGAATTAAACGTGCAAATATTGAAAATAGGCCAAATCTTCACTATTCGTTGGGTGGCTAGTAGTTTTTGTCTGGAAAGATTATCCCGCACTGGCACGCCAATTCAAAACAGCAACAGACGACACATCATCTCGCAGTGACACAGAGAGACAGAAATTCAGGGGACTGCACAAACTCCTCACGAGCACTGGATTTCTGGCTGATTTGGCAACAATGAAGGATGTTCTTCGAGAACTTAAAAGCCTGTCGCTAAAACTGCAACGCAGAGAAACATCTTTGGTAGATGCAAGTTGCTACATTCAGCAGACCATCGATGTGTTGACAGCTATGAAAACCAGTGGCGGAAAGTCCACACAAAAAGTGGAAGAAGGCATTGCTACTGGCATGTTCAAGGATGTTGAGCTCTCAGAGAGCAGGCCCAAGATAAACCGTCTGCAGTTTTACCAGTCTATAATAGACAGTTTGAAGAAGCGACTGCCTGAACCGGACCTGGTCCGCATGCTGAAACCACTGGACAAGCGCTTTTGGCCCGAACAACGGAGCGCCCTGATCCTCTATGGGGAGAATGAAGTACGCGCACTGGCAAAAGTACTGGGGGAACCGGCCCGAGAGGCCATTGAGGAGTTTCGGGACTACAAATTAGAGAATAAATCTCCAGGGAAAGCCCTGCAAAAACTGCAGACAGCGAGCAAGACCTTTTTGCCTACATCAGCTGAGTGTGAGAGGGGGTTTTCTGCCGTCAATTTGACCGACACCGACAAACGCAACAAGTTGCGGGAGAAGAGCCTCTTCTCACTTCTCTTCGTAGACATCAATGGCCCCCCCCTGGAGCAATTCGACCCTCAGCCATTTGCACGGTCTTGGATCAAAGCTGGCCACAAACCCTCCACATCCTGGCTTCCGGGACCGAAAGCGAAGAAGAAGCCGCCCAGGTCCCTGTGGTCGCTTTTACAGTAAGGTAAGAGAGTATATTTTACTGTTTGAGCTTTTTGTTTGTTTGGACTGGCCCCAGTCCTACTGTTGATATCATTTTTGGTTGTGGGATTTATTAGGTTTTTATCAGACTGATTGACTTGCATATAGTCTAATCAATCTATAGGCGTTGCGCTTGCAGCAACACACACACACACACACACACACACACACACACACACACACACACACACACACACACACACACACACACACACACACACACACACACACACACACACACACACACACACACACACACACACACACACACACACACACACACACACACACACACACACACACACACACACACACACACACACACACACACACACACACACACACACACACACACACACACACACACACACACACACACACACCACACACACACACACACACACACACACACACACACACACACACACACACACACACACACACACACACACACACACACACACACACACACACACACACAGGTTTCATAGCCTGCTTGCATGTTTGTAACTTCTCGTCCGTTTTCCCTCCATAGCAATCCACCCACAGGGGAGTGACAGGGAAGAAGCGATAGGGACAATACTGTAGGCCTATTCCAGGCTGGTCCTAAAGAAGCCCCAATTCCTTCCCCTTCAGCTGAAAAAAAGTTCAACTAATTTAAATTCTGAGGCCGCCGTGCCTATGTTATATAGCCTTTACACTGAAAAACGCTGCCATGTGTCCCCAACAGCAGCTGATGTCGTTGCTTTGTTTTGTTTGTTGCAATTGAATAAATGTTGGCTAATGGCTATCAATTGGTTTTGAAACAGTAGCCTCATGTTGTTATTTATTCTCTCTGAAATGTTATTGTGCCTTGGCAGTAATACCGTCTATAGTAGTAGCAGAGTGTTTTTATAGCAATTGATCGCATCCGCGCTGCTCCGCCAGTCAACAGAGCGTGCGTGTGACATATTTAGTAGCAGGATGTGCACAAAAAAATAGGGCTCCCCCGAAAGCAAATGGGTAATTCGAACACTGGTCAGGGTCCTTTGGCGTGCAGTTGTGACGCGCCGAGGCTCCTTCAGCTTCATAAACGGACGCAAAGAGCTTTCAACTGATTGCAATGTATTCCCATCTGCGGCGGTATTTGACGCTTATGGAAGCACCGCATCCGTTTATGTCGGCGGCTGTTAAAGGCAATGTGAGTGTCCATTCTCATTGGATAACGGAGAATTGTACACCCGGAAGTAAGTATTCTCCTTACTGTCGATTGATTTGACAGTGATATCTCTACTCATCAACTCAAAAACACCAGATTACCTTTGTTAATGAAACAATATTGATAGGTTTAAATTGTGTACAATGCTTTTGTGTTTTTCCCCTTCAATTCTGAGAAACAACTTGTTTTCTCTGAAATGTGGAGCGCCAAAGAGACTACACTACCCACAATCCCCAGCTATTGTTGTGACTACGCCTGTCCGCTTTGCGACAAACCTTGTGATTAGTCAACAAGCTCTGTGATTGGATGAAACATAAATTCATACAAAAAAATCCAACCCTGTCTCCTAAAAATTACGTTCCCACAGAACTAAACTGCATTCTCAATTACGTTTAGCTAGAAACGTATTTTCTCCCACGTTACATTTGTTATGAACGTATCTCAAATACGTTTATTTTCTACATATCTTCTAGAAACATATTTTCTCCCACGTTACGTTTGTTATGAACGTATCTTAAATACGTTTATTTTCTACATATCTTTGCCATTTATTGTCTTGCTTATAATAATGATAATAGTCATTTATAAATATCATTTTAGAGCACACATTTGAAATCGAGAATCGGGCTCGATATATGGTTAAATTAAATTAGTAGGCGAGGCTGTAATTTCGCCAGCTGTTACTCTCATGAGCGAGGCAGAAAATAATAGTTTTAACATGCCAAAAAGCTGCTGTGTCGTTTATTGCACCTCAAACATTAAAACAAATCCAGAGTTACGTGTTTCTGTACTTCCTCTAAGAACAAAGGACAGTAACAGAAGAGCTCTGTGGCTTCAGGCTTGATCGCCGCTCAAATGACAGCATTGGTTTCCCCAAAAGTGGGCGGGGCTGTAAAGTGACGTAGATTTGACTCTCATCTATTATTCGAAACCATTCTATTTATTCTAACCTAAATGACATGCCAGTGTTTTATCTTTTTATTACTTATATTTGTATACTTTATTTACTATGAGTTATATCTGAAGCAAATTATGTTTCTGAAGATGTGTAGTCAATTTCACCCTTCAATGTAGCATAAATGTGAACTCTTTTTACAGGAACAATACCAGAAACAGACGTAGGAAAGATCCTCAGCTCGCTGGATGTTTTAGCCGCAATGCACGTTTGGGAAGCCTGTGTTTATGCGATGTGAAATCCGAAAACATTTTTTTTTTAAATTAAATAATACTTTATTCCGAGTTTTCTTGCTTTTCTCTTTGGAAGTCATTACATAACGGCATTGTAATACACGGTTCGGCTGCATTACATATTACACATCTGCCTTAGTTCTTTATTTATAGAGCCTTGATGAGAAGACTTCTGGACAAACAGGAAGAACTGCCGCCAAAACTGAATACATGACGTGGATCATAAATATATCAACAATTAAACAACATCTTACATTTATTTTCACAAAATACGTCTCCTTGCAGTATCAATAGTAATTCGGCTGACTTTTATATTTGATCCAATTGGTAGATAGGTTATATTTACACCATAACGGTGCACAACTGATAGAAAAGGAGTTGAGAGAATAGTCAGGGGATTTGGGTGATGGGAGACACATCTATAGAATCACAATTTCAATAGCTTACCATTAAATGACGGATATGCCTTTCTGTCTGTGATGTTTTACAAATCAGATATTAATGTGTAGAAGTAAAACATGAGAAATACTATCGCAATATCCTGTAAAATTATGTAAAAACATGAATAAAACTACACATCTTCAGATGTTATACATACATAAGTGTCCTACACTAATAATACAAAGTTATTATTAGTATGATGTGTGTACCTTGTGTGCACCGCCTAGTGGTTAAAGCACGTTATTGAATTATTTTTGTTGAATAATGTTATTTTTGTTGAATAATGTTATTTGATGAAAAAAATATTAAGAGTACATACTTTCATAGAGGGAAAGTAGAAGGTCAATGATAGAAATATAGAATATACAAAATCAAGAAGATACTGTAAGTGATCTCTACAATCTCAAACTTTGTAATTCTACTAGAATAATAATAATAATAATCCTTATATTTATTATACTCCACTACAATTCAGAGGTTAACCTGGTATTTTTACTCCACTACATTTATTTTAGTTACTTTGCAGATTCCGATGAGAGATAACAATTAATGAATATACTTTATAGAGATCTGCAGATAAATATTTAGTCTTCTCAAGCACCAACTATCAAATATCTCTCCTGATTGTTGGCACTTGACAATCACCTACACTGAATTTTACTCAGGTGTAACTAAAGTCTGATTTAAGGGTTGTTTATATTTCACATCATTAATCAGAATCTGCAAAGTAACTAAAATAAATGTAGTGGAGTAAAAATACCAGGTTAACCTCTGAATTGTAGTGGAGTAGAATTACAAAGTAACAATGAGCTGTCATGTGGGTATATATTAATGCTGCCCATTATGGATACAAGCGATTTTCACCCATTTAGTAATTACATGTTTTAAATTTGTACACACCAATTTGTTTCCTATCCCCTAAACCTCCAGGGCTGCACACAGTTTAATACTGTCAACTTCTAATTTTTGGAAAAACGAAAACGTCTTTTAAAACTACAATTCCCAGTAGAGACGTGCCATAGAGAGCATGTTGCGAAACACAATAGCCAGCATGTGTAGTTCTGGGGAGGCGTTCGAGTCCAGTTTTGAATAGTCTGCCGTGGTTTCGTTCCATTTCAAAGAGCTTGACGCTCGGCGTAACCTTGGCGCAATGCCACTCCAACATCCAATCCCAGAGCTTGAAGATTAATCACGGGGTTTGTCAACGGGACTGTAGTCCCAAACGATAGCTGGGGATTATGGGTAGCGTAATGTCTTCGGATGTTTTTTTCGGATATCATATCGCATTAACAACACCACATCCTGGAGAATATGTGGGGACGTGCATTGCGTGAATTGCGGCTAAAACATCCAATCAGCGAACATGAAAACATTCCCAGTTAAACATGCAAAAACAAATCGCTAAATAAAAAGATAAAACACTGGCATGTAATTTACGTTAGAATAAATAGAATGGTTTTGAATAATAGATGAGAGTAAAATCGACGTCACTTTACAGCCCCGCCCACTTTTGGGGAAACCAACGCTGTCATTTGAACGGCGATCAAGCCTGAAGCCACAGAGCTCTTCTGTTACTGTCCTTTCTTCTTAGAGGAAGTACAGAAACACGTAACTCTGGATTTGTTTTAATGTTTGAGGTGCAATAAACGACAAAGCAGCTTTTTGGCATGTTAAAACTATTACTTTCCGCCTCGCTCATGAGAGTAACAGCTGGCGAAATTACAGCCTCGCCTACTAATTTAATTTAACCATATATCGAGCCCGATTCTCGATTTCAAATGTGTGCTCTAAAATGATATTTATAAATGACTATTATCATTATTATAAGCAAGACAATAAATGGCAAAGATATGTAGAAAATAAACGTATTTAAGATACGTTCATAACAAACGTAACGTGGGAGAAAATCCGTTTCTAGCTAAACGTAATTGAGAATGCAGTTTAGTTCTGTGGGAACGTAATTTTTAGGAGACACGGTTGGATTTTTTTTGTATGAATCTATGTTTCATCCAATCACAGAGCTTGTGACTCATCACGAGGTTTGTCGCAAAGCGGACAGGCGTCGTCACAACAATAGCTGGAGGTTGTGGGTAGTGTAGTCTCTTTGGCGCTCCACATTTCAGAGAAAACAAGTTGTTTCTCAGAATTGAAGGGGAAAAACACAAAAGCATTGTACACAATTTAAACCTATCAATGTCGTTTGATTAACAAAGGTAATCTGGTGTTTTTGAGTTGATGAGTAGTGGAGATATCACTGTCAAATCAATCGACAGTAAGGAGAATACTTACTTCCGGGTGTACAATTCTCCATTATCCAATGGGAATGGACGCTCACATTGCCTCTAAGAGCCGCCGACAAAAATGGATGCGGTGCTTCCCTGAGCGTCAAATACCGCCAATCAGTTGAAAGCTCTTTAAGTCCGTTTATGAAGCTGAAGGAGCCTCGGCACGTCCCAACCGCACGCCACGGGACCCTGACCAACCGTCGCTCCTGGACGCTTAGGGAGTGAGAGTGTGTTGGTTCTGGGGACAGAAAACAAGCGATCCAGATTGAAAGCCAACAGACCTACAGATGTATGAACAGATATATAGTAACATCACCTTACACACCTTTATCAACTGTTGATTGATACAATTTTGGTCTGTGGTCATCAGTCTTAGAAACAAAAGTATCTAAAGGATATTATGTAAAAGTTAAAAATGTTGGTAGCAATATGTTAGAAGTAAAGAAAAACACAACAAAGCAAAATACAATACAAAAAAAACTAAAAGAATCCTGAAACCCTAAAACACATTACACAATCATATATAATGTCTAGTATCTCTTTATATATCTGTGCTAACGCAGCGTACCCACCCAGAGGTAACCCTGAGGTAAGGAGGTGCTGGAGGAGCAGGAGCCCAGCAGGCTGCACCGAGCCGGGCTGTGGAGAGCTGCCTGCAGACACACACACACACACACACACACACACACACACACACACACACACACACACACACACACACACACACACACACACACACACACACACACACACACACACACACACACACACACACACACACACACACACACACACACACACACACACCACACACACACACACACACACACACACACACACACACACACACACACACACACACACACACACACAGTAAGACCTTTTTCACGTCAAAGCTGGTGGAATAAATAAATGTTGACATTTAATCTGAAAATAAGTATGACCACATATAATATTGTGCCTAGATAGATTACAACATGTATTTATTTGTTCAATTTAATTTAATTAGGTTTATTATTGAATATATTCAATTCTGACATGTATAAAGACATGGGCACAACCCACGTCATCACTGGCTTTAGAGGGATCCACAAACAAAACACAGAAAATGATAATCCAGAAGAAATGTTTTGAAAATAAATGTGTTTATTAAGATTTGTGATGGGCTCAGTTTCATCACGTCCTAATGCTATTTCACAGTTTGTATTTCTACAATTTATTTATATCTTGAATGCTGCAAACCTCCTCAGTCTGATGTTAATATCAGTTCACAGCTTAGCCAGAAGATACTGCTGCTCAGTGACCTACATTAACTAGGAAACACCCCTAATAATAATAATGATAATAATAATAATATACCTTTTAGAACATATATCAATAATTAGTTGCAGCTCTCACCTTCAGTGTGTGTGTTCTGGAGGAGAAGACAGGAAGTCTGCAGGTCAGCAGTGGACAGCTGAATGCAGCCTTCGTCTTCCCATCTTCTTCATCACATTCCCAGCCCGGAGTGTTCTCCTGTCCTGAGCACACACACAACCAATGCACGCACACACTTTTAGAGACTAATTCAGTGACAGTTTTGAAGAGTGTGCTCAATACAAATACAGTAAGTTGCAATGTGAGTCGTGACGTATGATGATCAGACAGACAGACAGACAAACAAACACTCACAAACACACACACACACACTTACTCTGAGCTATCTTGGCGAGGTGCATCCGGTTGACCCAAGAGATCTTACTGAGGGGGCTTGGGGTGTTGAAGACCAGAATGATGCTCACTGGACGACCACACCTGTGGACATGATCACATGATGAGCTACACTCTGCTCCTGTAGGGCAGCTGCATCAGCGTCCTGCAGAGATCCTCACCTGTCAGGCTTCCCGGGGACAGACAGCCGCAGGCGGCACCTGTTGGCGTTCTGGATCTCCTCCTCCTTCAGACGCACCAGCCTCTGCAGAGCCAGACTCCAGTCCTGAGACACCAGGCTGTTGAGATTCTGACAGCCACACAGCAGTGACTTTATTAAATCCTTAACTGTCTCATAATGAAGATTCTGCATTAATACAACTTATATCTCACTCTGCTACTTTTGGCTCATCAGTTAAGGAAGAGAAGCGGACGTGAGGAAAACACAGCGAGAGCAGAGTTCTGAATATACTGGAGTTTATTGAAGAGTTTGGATGGTGTACCATAGAGCAGCGGTTTTCAAAGTGTGAGGCGCGCCTCCCCTGGGGGGCACCAGAGAGCTTCAGGGGAGGTGCAATGTGAGAAATAAAAGTTGTGCCTCATCGGACATTTATGAGAGAAAATCCCTAATGTCCGAGTGCAAGTGAATGCAGCACCAGACGCAAGCCTTGTAACCCCTCCCTCCTCTTTTTCCCTCCCTTCCCTCCCTCCTGGCGTTCAAAATTCATTTGAACGGGACGGCGCATTCGGACCCAAGTAGACGGACGGAATGAGGTATTTGCAGTCTACAATGACAGAGAAGCAGGGGCGGATCTACGGGGGGGCAAGGGGGCAGCTGCCCCCCCACTGTAGAGCCTTGCCCCCCCAGCTGCCCCCCTAACTTTTGTTTCCCTAAAACTGTACTAAAACAAACCTACACTATTTCCACAAGCTTCTCAAGCAACAAAACAAGCATTACATTAGTTAAAAGTGAATCATTTTAAATATCATTTTAGGCCTGTTAAAAACGCAGCTACGGCCCTGCATTAAACTGCGGAGCGGCGTTCACACAGACCTGCACACAGACCTCACAGAGCTGCAGAGAGGGAGCGAGCTGTCCCAGCGCCGATGGGTCAGCTTCCCCTGGGAGCATTTCCCTTTCCACTAGTTTTGTTTTTACTAAGGACGAGAGCTTGAAACTAAATATTAATAAAATGCTGCCGTTTGAATCGATAGCGTTTAACAGATGGGCGCTGTTTGGGGCGTTACGTTACAAAATACTACGCAGACAGCGTTAGCTGGGAGATCGATCACTTTGCTAAACTATGCGGTAGCCTACTATTAAATCCACGTAAACTACACATCACAGCAATGAGGCCAGATCAATGAAACCAGGATACATCCTTTACCGTAAAAACTGGATCCAAACACAGCTGCCTGTGTGCATTTGATAAATACTTTCTGATGATATGCTACTTATTAGCTAGGCTACATGGCCCTAACGTGTAAAGTTATACAAGCATTTGTACAGTGGCGAGCCGTCAGGGCCCTCTAGGCCCTCTGTGAGGGCCTAAGATATTTGTCACATGGCAATGTATTTTAATTATTCATTATTGCATGGCTTTAAGTGTAGTGTGTTTTATACCTTTTTATTGTGTGATTTTACTCTGAAATGTGTTTGCCTTTTTAACTGGTTTTAACTTCCTGCTGCATGCTTTTATTTTTGAATTGTTTGGATTGGCCTTGCCATGCTGATTGACAATGAGTGACCACACCTGGAGCCAATTTGCACACCTATAAAGGGAAGGAGAAGAGCAGCAGAGGACAGACGGAAACTGAGAGAGGCTGAAGGGCACAGCAGAGGCGGAGCGCACGAGGAGCAGAGACGGAAACTGGGACTGAGACTGAGACTGAGACTGAAGGAGACAGCAGAAGCAGAACGCACCAGGAGCAGAGGCACACGCAATAAAGGGATTAAAAGACACGGCAGTCCGAGAGAGGGTCGACGGAGCACCTTTACAGCCCTGGAAAGACTGGTTTTGAGAAAATACTTTTAAACCCTTTTAACATTCGAATTCTTTGTATTGTTTTAACTACGTTTAATTGTATTTTAACATAGTTTTAGACTATCTTTTTACTGAGATTATATTTTAGACAGCTCTGATTTTAGTTTTCTTAGTAAAGATGTTATGTTCTACTGAATAAATCATTGTGTTTTAAACTTAGTAGTTGGCTCCTTGATTACCCAGTTTTGCTCTCCACCTGATTTAAAAGAACCCTTTCCCTCCTTAAATTATTACCCCTCCCCCTCCTTTACATATTCTAAAAAATAATATTGAAAACATTACAAAAAAAAAAAAAAAATGTAATATTTTTTAAAATATTTTTTTGTTATTACATTTTTCATTAATTTTACCAAAATAACTTGATTTAATTGTATTTAAAATAATATTTCCAAAGAAATAAATCCTTCGAATCTGCCTGTTCAGTTTCTGTTGGAATGTGAAGGGTTAAATGCCGTCTCTACGAGTTCTGTGAAGACGGGAGAGCTTGTTGGTCCCTCTCTACATTCACAGAGGGCCAGCTATAGTAACTCAACGAGAGAGTAATGTCAAATGACAGTACAATTGACCAATCATATCTTCCCTCTAAATGGGCGGGCTTTATTTTCGCGGACTTTATGACAGGTTCCGCCCGCTGTGAGGTCTATGCAAGTGGTGCAGTGACGCGTCCTAAAACCCGGAAGTAAGCTTCGCTCGGATTCCCTCGACAGAGAGCAGTGAGATTTCTCCATAGGATTTTGGTAAATAGCTCGAAATAAGGTCTGTGGAAAACTAACCTGTTAGATAAATGCACGTTTTGTTCAGCCGGATAATATCCACATGTCTATCCTACTTTTATTATTTTTGAATCATAAATCTAATCGATAGATTTATGATTAGCATAAGTTCGTTCATGATGGCTCACTTCAGTGATAGTGATGACATCGTTGCGAAATTATTAACCGAGTCATTTTCAAGATTGAGTTAACAATGATAAACTGGAGTGGCAAAGGATCAGCTGCATGACCCGCCATTAAGTGCTTCATCCAAAAGGACAGGAGGATGGACTTTGTTTCAGTGATTTGATCATCAAAGGTAGGCCTAAGTCATTTTCAATGCGGGTGGCTGTCATTGATGCGTTTTGCACCCCGGACCACTGTTTTGATATTCCGCTGAAGTCTACGTTGAGACGTAATATCTCTTCTTTCGAGGGAAGGGGGGGTCAGAGGGCCTAGGTATAAAAGTCACGGCTCACCACTGCATTTGTACCAGTGCTTTTCACAAGTAGACTCTTGCAGGCCAGAGTATAGGAGTGATTCAACAACAACAAAAAGACATATCTGAGAAGAGATCAGGACGAACAGAAAGAGGAAAAGGAAAAGAGAGTTCACTGAAGAGACCAGGAGGGTCAGAGCAGGAGGAGATGAAGACATTAGTGAAGAAGAAATATATGTGAGGAATAAAGATGAAGTATCAGAAAGAGGGACCAGAGGCAGGGATCAGGAGGCAGATGAAACTCCAGCTGGACCACATGGTATGTTCTTATTCTCCTTATATATTCCATTACAGCAGCACAATCTAGCAGCTCTTAGTATTGACAATTATTGATTGAAATGTGTTGCTGCACAGGTCACCTTTAGCTCTCTGAAGAGATGGGTGATGTCATTTGTGTACTTAATTATAACTAAGTACTTACAGTATGCAGAATTAGAGTATTCTCTGAATCGGGTGCCTTTTGGGTCTTTATATCTTTGAAAAATGAAACATGTTTGGTCATAACATCTGGTAGTGGACTACTTACATTTTCCCACCTCAGGCACAACATATAAATAATTACTAGGAATTTACTTGAAAAAATGTAACAGGGTTGAAGTTTTTGACAAAAAGTAGGCATGAGACCTTGTTTAGCTAAGATATGGCACCACATGGAAGTCAAGGACATTCCAAAATTGTAATATTTTGCAAAACTATTGTTTATTTTGTAATAAACAATTATTTACTATTATTAATTCATATAACAAAGTTGAAATGTTGAGCATGTCAATCTTAATCTGAAAATACAAAAACTGAAATATAGGTAAGAGAAGAAACTGACACTTTTGTGATGTAATTCCCTCAATGCAGATCACACATGGACTGATCCATTATTTTAATAGGAGGGTAAATGGTATGGCGTGACAGGGTTGAAACAAACTGAGAGACGTGTGTCAATATTGCAATTTCATAGATAATTCAAGTATTTTTTCAGAATTTATTTTTGATCAGTTAAAGTTGACAAGCATATGATTATATTAGCAGCAACATTTTGGAATAATTGGCCATTTTGATTTGTTTAATATTAAATTAATATGTAATAATGCTTAGTGAGCACATGCAAATATGTCTGTCTAATACTAAGACAACACATTTTTGTAATGCAAAACAACCTGTTCCATTAATTAATTGCTTTAAAATACATTTTGTAGTTTTCCTTTCATTTAAAATGGTTGAGGTAAGCTTGGGGGACTCAAAGGGCACCCGATTGTTTGTCTGAACACCTTGTTTCTCTTGTGCATTAAGAACACTTGTGTTAGGGCATGAATTAACAATAAATAGGTTATAGTGTAAAATACCACGTACTGTCCGCCCTCCCATGCCACCCTGGCATGACCTCTTGCCCCCCCTTTGCCACCCCATGTAAAATGTTCTAGAACCGCCACTGCAGAGAAGAGACTGTCAAGTTTGGCTATAATCAAAACGCACTAAAGCTGTTGATCTTAATAAGTTTGTGAGGCGTTTTGCTGAACAAGATGGTAATCGCCGCATTCAGCTGTTATAGGCATGCCAACTTGATGCTCTGGGGCCTCATTTATAAAGGGATATACGCTCAAAAAATGGCGTACGCCAGTTTCTACGCAATGTTTGCGATTTATAAAATACTAACTTGACGGGAAAACGTGCGGTCCTCCACGCAAACTCTAACCCATGCGTACGCACTAAGCACAAAAACGGGAGAGACGAGAAACTGTGACACCGTTGGCAGAAGGAAGAATGGAGAGAAATATGTGGAAATAAAACCATAAACAAAATGTTACCTCATTTATTATATGAAGAATTCATTTTCAAACATTGATTAAAGCTGATCTTAAAATGATGAAACAAACGCCTGTTTGAGACTCCTCAGTGCACACAAAAACATAACTTGGAGAAATAAATAAATACGGATATGTTATTTAAAACCACCTCGAATATGTTGTGTTAATGTTATGAAATGTTTCCTCAAATGATGCGGTTTTGCATTTCTAGGTTG